ACCCGATCCCAATATTCTAATCTTCACAATGATAATCTGAGTCGGTGATGATAATGATTGACAAATATTGTATAAGTATTTTATTACTGTAAAATATTGCTCACAAAAGCACACATCATTTGTTAAATCAGCAGGTGACACCACTGACAATTCAAAATGGTATCAGACAATTACAATCAATCACCAGAAAGTGTTGGAAACAACACGTAACAATCACATTTTACCCGGGTTTGATTCCCCACATGGGTACAAAGTGTGAAGTCTAGTTCTGATGTCCTCTGCTGTGATATTGCCGGAATATTGCTAAAAGAGGCGTAAAACCATACTCACTCACTTCTTACAAAACACCCAGATGAGCTAAATATTCATCCTCCAAAAAAGATAAAAATATTGTTGCATTACCAATTGCATTCTTTGACCACAATAATCTAATGTTTGATTTTCATCCCAATGTTTCAAAATTATTGATTGGAGATATAGAATTTTAATATATGCTGAACATCATTGAAAACGCACCACTTATAAAAGTTCAGATTATTAAAAGCACGTGTAAGGAATTGATATTTTTTGAGTGGATAATAACAGATGGACGACTGACAAAAACAACACAGAAAAGACGCTCGTTCATTGAAATGTTCCACAGTCAGAAAGGATCAAACACACGTGGGGTCAAATCGAAAAGTCAATATCGCGTGTGACCGCCATTTGCATTGACACATGCAGTTCAACGTCTCCTCTTTGAGTCAATAAGCGTCCGAATAGAGTTCTTAAGGATGGTATTCCACTTCTGCAGTAGTGCAGCCTCAAGTTCCCGGATGTTTTGCATCTGTTGTCACCGCGAAAAACTTTGACCAATTTCGTCCCACAAGTGCTCCATGAATAACCTGGATGTGTTGCTGGGCCAGATACAGCATGGGAAGTCTTGTTGCGTGTGCCCGTGCGTTGTCCTGTTGAAAAGTATGGACATCTTGGTGGTGATTGAAGACAGATACGATGTGATTCTGAAGAATCTGCTCACGGTAATAGAAGGCATTAACTCTCCCTTGACAGACATGAAGGCTGTCCTGTGATTGTAATTTATTCCACCCCAGACCATGACGCTCTCACCACCCAAAGGTCTGTCTGAACCACACACTCATCAGCATAACGTTCACCACGTCTACGCCAAACACGTAATCGGCCGTCAGCATTACGTAGGTGAAGACGTGACTCGTCAGTGACTACCAGACCATGCCATTGTTGTAACCTTTACTGAAAATGCCTGCTAGCCCATTGTATACGCTCATTACGGTGTCTGTCAGTCAGAATTGGTCCAACGTAAGGACGTCGAGCATGGAGCCCTGTAGCGTGTAGATGGCGTCGCATGGAGTCTGCGTTGATGACCCCCACGTCAACCTTGAACTATTGCAGCAGTCCTGGCAGTCGGCAGTGTTCAATCACTGATATGGACAAGGTCAATATGGCGATCCTGATGGAGCGTCGTAACGCGTTGTTGCCAAGGTCATTGAAGGTCACGGGTGCTGCCTCTCTACTGATGTCGTCTATGAAGCCTAACGATGGTGGAATGGCCAAGTTGTCGAGCAATATCCTTGCTGCCGGTGCCAACCTGAATCATGCCTAGTGCACGTTCTCTTTCGTGAGGTGTTAACCTCGGTATCTCTGTCCTCGTTTCACAATCATTAGTGAAGCAATGAGAATCGGTTCTCATACACCTGCTTTTAAAGTCACAGTCAGTATGATTTCAGAATGAAATTCGCGCTTTTTTTCATGGCGTTGCTGCATTTTGGAATTAAGAGTCATACTTTGGACAGGAATTTGTTTCTAAAGCATTTTTTCAACTGGACATTGCCCTTCGACTTCATGTTAGTTATATTCATTGATCATTGTCATGCTGAAATTCATCTTGATGAAAATATGGACAATTTTAGACTGGTGTGTTTTCAATGATGTTCAGTATATTTATAACTGTTTTCTATACAAACAGTTCGAGGCAAATGTGATTCTTAAATGTCAACATGACTCACCTCAAATATTTTCAAACGTCATCAGTTTATCGGCAACTTACAGAATGTTCTTTTTCTACCATGAAATATTCTTCCTTTCCGCTAATCATGAAAGGTTGGCACACTTGATATTTTGATAATTTCTATTTGAAGGATAAATCCGGGACAACAAAATGATATAGGAGTGAGTGAGTGAGTGAGTGAGCGAGTGAGTGTATTTTTACGCCACTTTATATGGCAGCAGGGAACACCAGTTATGGGCTTCACGAAATGATATAAGACAGAATGTTAGGTTTGTTGTTCCACCCAATACTAGAGTGACTAGTAGTCTAGACTACCAGTTGTCCGACTTCCATTTTTAATTTTTTTTGTGGAAGTCGCGGTAGCTGAGCTGGTTAGGGGTTGACTTTGTGTGCTGGCGATTAGGTTCCTGGCTCTGAGGGTGTGAGTTCGAATCCCGGATGTGGCTCAACTAAAAAAGTACTAGAATTTGTACTTTACTAAGAAAGTGTAATCCCAAATATAACATATGTTAGATTGTAAATACTTAAGTCATAGACCAGATGATCCTGTGATTTAAATTACGAACATCGAATCACCTTGGATAAAATGACATGCATCAAGCAAGCGAATGAGTGTGACCCCAAATTCCATTAGTTGCCTCTAAAGAAAAGCATGGATTAGAGAATATTAATTCTTCTTGACTTTCATAGAGTTTCAAGGGCTTAATAATAATACAGATCATTTGAAATGCGCTTGACTCCATAACACTTGGCCATGCTCTAAGCGCACACACAAGACAGTCAGAAGCGAAGAAAAGAAATGTCTTTAGATGAAATTTAAAACTTGAGAGAGTTGGAGCAGATTTAATGTCTGTAGGGAGAGAGTTCCACAGGAAAGCAGCTGCATGTTTGAGGTGAGGTGAGGTGAAATTGGGTTTAAGGTCGTGCTTGAGAATATTTCGCTCATATGAAGACGTGCATGCGTATGTGCGGCTGCTTGTACTAGCCAAGACAGAAGCTGGTTTTATAGTGCTAGCCCACTGAGATACCATGCCGCAGTGAAGCATGAATACCCCACTCAGACACATTATACTGACTCCGAGCCGACCAGTCCTTGTTGTACCCATTAATGCCGAGCACCAGGCAGGGACCAACAAGTACAATATTTTAACGCCTTTTGGTATCACGCGGTCGGGGATCGAACCCGCGACCTTCCGCTCTCTGGGCGCACGCTCTAACCACTACACCACGGAGGCGGTCCTGCATGTTTGAAGGATCTATGTCTGAAAGTTTTGAGTTTATATGGAGGCACAACAAGGAGTGATTGATCGGCAGATCTGATATTCCTCGGTGGGACGTAGGGTGAGACAAGGGCTTAGAAATAGATATGATACATGCCCCACACTGAAGCACAGTAATGTGACTCTGTTTAACCAGCAGTCAATGGGTACCCGGCAGGATAAAATGGCAATATGGGTTTAACATTCTAATGCTGCAAAGGCACCTTTGATTGCATACTCCCCAGGGAGATGAGAATGGAAGGGATGACAAATCCCTCAATCCATGACCGATCATTACTTTAAGACTTGATGAGAGAATTTCTGTCTAATCTTTCTGTCTGAATGCAACTTTGCATGCATTTCTTTTGTCACATACACACTCACAAACTTGTTGCCATGGAAACAGGACATATTATATTTTTTTAAATGCGTAAAAGTCACAACCTTAGTCCCTCATTAATCTATATCCCACGTTTCGGCCAAAAATGTTAAATAAAAGTGATACCTACCTCTGTTTCAGCAAAATACAATTTTTTTCCAAGGAAATTGTGTAAAAAATACAATATGTCACCAGCAAAAATATGTAAACACCAAAAGGTGCTTCTTGAGTATCTATATGCCAATCTTTGTTGAGATATGTTGAACAGTTTTCGGGTTGTGCTCTGGAAATGATTAAGGACGCATGAATATACAGATGAGGTGCTGACTATATCCAGGGCTCCAGATAATTTTTCAACATCACGAGTACATACTCCTTATTTGTTCAATATTGAGTACTGGAAAACCTTAAGTGTACATTTAGAGTACTGAATGGAAGCTAATGGGCTATCAGTAATCTTGTGTTTCGTTTTGTATATGCACCACAACTTTGCTACTCTTGTGTAAACAGGTCAATAAACAATAAACAATACTTTTTTTCAGATAAATACGTCTGTAAGTGATTCTAAGACCGTACACCATTGCTTGGTGCATATCTGCTACGTTTTCTAAATTATTTCCTACCGTATCGTGCATATTTTTTATCCGTACATACGCCCGCCCTTATCTGGAGCCCTGATATCCCTCACAGTATGTGCCAGGGGATTATGATGTTCAGAGCTTTACAGCATGGATTTGACACAAAATATTTATTTGCTTTTATCGTTATCATGATTATTATTATTATCTGGCTGCTTTCCACTTCCATCTTGATTCCTGTAGACAAACAGACCTATTTTGCAGCTTTCAGCTTTGTCACCAAGGTCAAATATATGTCATAATTTGACACATAGGCACAGCTTGATTGCCACGCATTCTCATCCCACAGAGGTTACTTGCCATATCTTCCTTCGAACCTCTGTTGTAATACGGCCATATTTCACGTGTCTCATAAAATCCCCTAGCGGCAAAAAATCGCAACACGAATTATCTCCCTTCTTTCTATCCAATCACAACACGTGTTACATTGACTTAGATCCAACTTGACTAATACAAGCAAATGTGGGGCCACAATTATTCCTCCTCAGCCGGGACTTGTGTTGATGTTACAAACAAGACATTTATTGGCTAGCTTGTCCGTTGTCAACGAGGGCGATGGAGACGCCATTGATCCGCCATTTACATGACTGAGTTCTGTCTTTAAGAAACATTTGCACATCGCGCAGGGGAAGAGGTTCTAGTTTTCCCGAAGTAAGGAAATTACCGAGGCCTTGCGAATGATCACTTCAAACAACGTCGCTGATTGCACAACTAAATCAGATTGCAACCAATCACGAATCATCAAAACTTGTGCCATGAAAGGGCCGTATTAGAACAGAGGTTCGTAGGAAGATATGACAAGTTACCTCTGTGGGAAGAGAATGGATTGTCAAGGTAACCTGGATTGTTTCATGACTTGCTGCAGAACAGATGTTTCACAGTAACACATCCGCCAAACTTGGTTGTCATGGAGACCTGGATGCCTTCCACTTTCAACTGGATTGTTGTTGCAGAAGAGTTGTATCATTGGAACACATCGGCTGACATGGATGCGTTCCACTGTCAATTTGATTGTTAAGCACCACATACATCAAATCTTGACACATTAACAAGGCTGGATTGTTATGGCAGCCTAGAGGGACACTGGTGTAGCCCAGTGGTTAAAGTGTCTGCTCGTCTCACTGGGTTCGATTCCCCACATGGGTACAATGCATGAAGCCCATTTCTGTGTCCCCCAGTCGTTATATTGTTGAAATATTGCTAAAAGCGGAGGAAAGCCTCACTCACTCACTATGGCAGCCTATCATTATCAAAGACGAGGCACATCACGACACATCTGGCACAACAGGGCTGTCATGACCTTGACCTTCATCGTCTGACCTCTGACAGAAGTCTTTGATCATCTTGTACACTTTGAGCGACTCGTTGATGCTTTCAGTGGTCTGAGCCATCTCCTGACTGAACTGGACGAACGCCTCGCTGCTGTCATCACTGCGCCGGATGTTGGCGTAGGCGTTCTCCGCCATCAGCATAATCTGCTGCTTTACATCTTCCAATGAACAGTTGCCTTCGTTACTTGTTGAATTCTGATTGGTCAGTGGAAACATGCTCTGATTGGTCAGTGGTGATATGTTCTGATTGGACAGTAAATGTGGCACTTGATCAGCAAACATGTTTTCCGGCAACAAGTCTTGGTGGAAAACTGTGGAATTCTGGGTTTCACTGTGGGATGGAATGTCACTGGTTGATGAATCTGTTTCTGAAGCAATCTTGCTGGTTGATGGATGTGAGATGCATCCTGACTTCTGATTGGCTGTTAACTTGTTAGGGGAGTTTTGATTGGCTGTTGGGAGTGGTGTGTTGATTGAGGGTGTCTTCAGACCGCTCCAACTGGCATCACTCGGCGGAATATTCAGCGCTGAATGAATGAATAAATAAATGAATAAATAAAAACAGAAGAAAGAAAGGGAGGAATGGTATAGATCAAAGAAAACATTTCTTAAGAAAACAGAAAGTGTGAACATAAACATGAAAATCAGAGCAAACAACTGAATGGATGGATGAATGAATGAATGAATGAATGAATGAATGAATGGTATACATCAAAGAACATATGTCTTACACCAATAAAAACCTCGAATAAAAACAACATAAACACTTATAGCACTCAATTTTAGAATAAAATACCTATCAAAATCGGAAAGATAAGTTTAAACTAAATTTTCAAATAAACTTCACCAGATGATGTAAAAACGGTTTCACCTTGTAAAAAAAGCATACCATACAAGAAAAGGCTGCCATGGTAACAGACAACCCCAATCTGAGTTTAGGAAATTCATGGTTTTGAACATTACTTACACTTTAGTTTCTTCCGCTTCTGCCCAAGCCTCTGTGATGGTGTATTCAGCCGTTTAGCCAGATGATCCTGTCCGGTCTTCTTCAAAGAATCGATAAACACCTTGAACCCCCGATCACATCGGCGCACAAGGTAGTTGAGAAGCTCCTCATTCATGGCCTCGCGGGTGATTTTGTTCTGAATACGTTTCACCTCTGTAACCGTGACGATACGATCTGCAATGAGGTCGTTGAAGACCTCATCGGGTGTCATGTCATTGGTCAGGTCCACTCGGTTGTCCAGTATGGCTTGCTTGTTCTCCTCTGCCATCAGAGTGTCACCTGTAACAGCGATATCATTTCTGTCTGTCATCAGAGTGTCACCTGTAACAGCGATATCATTTCTTTGTGTCTTTGAGGAAATAAGCATGCCCATACCTTCTGCTTACCAGTTATACTTGAACCATCACAACAATTATGTCATTTCAATATACAGTCAAATCCCAATGAGTCAAATCGCTGGGGACCAAGTAATATATTTGACTTATCGATGTATTCGAGACATAGGTATGTCTATGAGGGTAGAAAAGAAGATGATCCAGTCCTAATTCCTCCGCCTAAGCATTTGTTTATCTAATGATTTCCCTATCACTAATAGGGGCACCTTATCAGTTCCAGTCTGATTAGCACAGACAGTGATTTCCGTAAAATCACTAATCTGCCTTTTGAACTCACCCGTCAATGTCGGAAAGGTGTGAGCCGCGCTGGTTTGTTAATTTGATCAGTTTGCTACACCAATCATCTTCTCATTGACTGATTTCGGCTTATGTATACAAGATTGCTGTTGTTTGAATCTCATGGGACCAAAGTTCCAGCTCGAGTCATCGTGTGTATTTATGAGACGAATTCGTGTAACCGGAAATCAAATGATGACAACAATAGCAGGGAATGGTCGGGACCGACAGGTACTTCGAGTTACGCATATTATTCGAGACAAAGGCATTCAACTCATTGGGATTTGACTGTATTGTTAATAAGTCAGTAAACATCTTGTAAGCCTATGAACTAAAATACTGATGGAAATAGAAAAAAACTGTTTTTGGCATTGATATCTACAATTTATGTAGTTAATATGTGTAAGTGTGAAATATCTGTTAGACTAAGTTTGGCCTAACTACAGTCTCAGTGGTAGGGAGATAGGAAACGTAGAAAAAGGACTCTACTGAGGAGAGATTAGTGCAAAAATGACTTACAATGTATTTGGAACAGGCCATGGCTTTATGCAAATTAGTGTGCGATGATATTATATTACAAAGGACAATTTTAGAATGTCCATTTTGAAATTAAGCTTACCTTCATTATAAACGATAGCTGACGTAAAAAAATAACTTAATACTGAAACTATATAGGATGTATCAGCCATGGAGTCTCACTATCACCATAAAAAGAAACAGGTAGGAGGGGTCGTCTCAAAAGCAAAACCAGGACGGGTGTCGCAGACGGAGGTTAGGGTTGGGCTGGGGGATAGAGATATAAACTGAGATAAGATAATCCTTTAGGGGGAAGCAAGTGGCATGTCATGACAATTTACAAATAATATCCAGTCCTGTCGATCTTGGGCTGGTCATGCCACCTATATATTTTGAGACATTTACGATGAAATACACAATGCCATTTACAAAGTGGTCAAATGTAACATATGTTATATTTGGGATTACACTTTCTTTGTAAAGTACAGATTCTAGTACTTTTGTTGGGTTGAGTCCCAGCCGGGATTCGAACCCACACCCTCAGAGTCAGGCACCTAATCGCCAGCCCACAAAGTCAGTCTAGACTACCAGTTGTCCGACTTTCATTTTGTGGAAGCCGAGGTGGCTGAGCGGTCTAGGCATCTGACTTTGTGTGGTGACTCTGAGGGTGTGGGTTCGAATCCAGGATAGGACTCAACCCAACAAAAGTACTAGACAGAGCTACAGATAACTTTTTGGGTCATTGAGTTATGTACTCGCTTCTGTTCATCTCAATTGGGTATTCTAATTTTCCTTTGAGTAACCAAATAAATTGTCTTCCCCTCACTCACGCTCAATTGGGTATTTTGCCATTTTCCATTAATTTTATAAATATAATAAAGTTTAAATGTTAGTGTTTGTTATTTATATTTGATTCGTAAAATGAGAAACGCAAAGAAAGACTGCAAGTTGTCAAGTTCATGTCCTGAAATAGAACCTCTCAATATACCTCAGTTATTTCATCTATCCACATGTACACAAGCTAAGATTTGACATTTTTGTGTGTACGCATGTAAGATCGCATTTATTGAGTATTTACAAAGATTCAAGCGTACTTGTACTCAACAGACTTAATAGGAATTGAGTTTTCACATAAATATTTGCGTAATTTAGAATCTGTACTTAACAAGGAAAGTGTAATCCCAAATATTCCTCCAAATGAAACCATTCAAACCCACAAAACGTAAAGTATTTGGTAGACTGTTTGGCAATTTTGGAGCCCCTTATATTGACACTTCCATTTGTAAAATGTTACATAAAACCAACAAAAATAAAAGTATATTTGGCACTTTAAGAGCACATATTGTTGCTATGGAAATCAAGGGCATATAATTCCAAGGGGGCTAACTCTGGATGACCCAATATATTAAACAATCTGAACTATATCGCATACTGTACAACTGTACCGGTAGATACCAGTTTACCGGAAATATTGCACGGCCCGAATAGTTAGTATTGTACACCAAGTAACCCAACACCTGGACTTTCCCAGAGCCCATTTAAAGGAAAGCTGAATTTCTAGTTTACAAATTAATCAAGTTCACTAAATATTATCAATTAAAAAAAATCACAGAATTCTACCTTCTACAGTGAAACTTGAAAGTTGAGGGGTCCCTGTTATGCATTGTCTCTAGTTCAAGATTAAGTGAGTCCTTTAATTTAAATATTTTAACAGTGAGTGGGAGACTTTGGTTTTATGCCGCTTTGAGCACTATTCCAGTAATATCAGGGCGGGGGACACAAGAAATAGGACTCAAATTATTTTGGAACACCGACGATGACACAATGCTCTTTCTGAGCAAAATTGCTTTCTAAATGTTACATCTGTTATTCTGAACAATCAAAGGCTAAATAAAAAATTCACATGAATGACCAATTCCTGATTTGATGATTTTTGAATTTTGACTATTTCAATTCATAACTGAATTCTCATGATTGTTTTCACAACTACCAGGACAATCTGACCCTTGAAGATCCGGGTTAAAATTGGTCTTCAGCAACCCATACTTATCTCCCACGTGAAGATCGTTAAAAGAGGTGACTGATGAGATTGTTTTGGTCAGGCTCGCTGACTGGGTTGGTGTGTGTCATTGTATCCTAGTTGTAGAGGTTGATGCCCACGATGTCAGTCACTGGATTGTTTGGTCCAGATTCGAATATTTTCAGACTGCTGTCACACATCTGGAATATTGCTGTGTTGCTAACAGGATCGGGTGGTCAGGCTCGCTGACTTGGTTGACACAAGTCATCGTATCCCCATTGTGTAGAGCAATGCTCATGCTGTTGATCACTGGATTGTCAGGTCTAGACTAGTTTATTTACAGCCAGCTGCCATTAAGCTAGAAAATTGCTGAGTGCAGCATTAAAAAAACAACCAACCAAACCCAAGACAACCCATACATCTTACCACCTCCTCCTCCTCCGACCTCCCCACACATCAGATCTGCCAGATGACCTTGACATGACTCCCTCAGTGACACCTCAAGAACGGAGAACGCCTTGTCGGATCGTCTAACTACATGATCAAGCAGCTCAGCGTTCATGGCCTCCCATGTGGCCTTGGCCTTGATCCGCCTCTCCTCGGCCAGCGTCAGAACCTCCTTGGCAGACAGACGACAGAACAGATCGTCAGGGACCATGTTCTCCGCCATCAGCGCCCTGTTCTGTGTCAAGAGGTTCTTATGGGCTGCAGTCATCGGTCCTACAAACAGAGGCAGCTCTTCATTTGTTTCTTGATGAACACTGCTGTCACTAAAACTACCTGATAATAAATAGAGGATATTATATGAGTGCCCATGTCATACTATGTTTACGAAACGAGTGTCTAAATGTTGGTATTTCCCGAGCGAGAGCCAGGGATATACCGATATTTAGGCACGAAGTGTTGTAAAACATAGTATGATATGGGCACGAATATAATATTCTGTTTATTAACGAAGTCGTAAAATTGAGGAAAATAAACCCAAATCTACTTTCAAACATAGGTTGGCTACCCGCCATTGCCGCATGTAGAACGCAACGTCACTGAAGAAACGTGACGTCATAGCATTGTTCATGACGTCACGTCACCATGACAAAGTGATATTTTGCCCTAGGGCATCGTACGAAAAATATGAACCCCGATATGTTCGCCCTCTTAGGTAATAAACTTTTCTCAGGAACCAATTCTTTATAATTGATTCAGTAATGCTTAGAATTGTTTTCCAAGACACAGTCAAGAATTATGAACTAAAGGCAATTTTTGTCCCACTTGAGAAGTCATATACAAACTTTGAAACATCTGCGTAAATTTCTTTAACTTGTTCAACTGGTTGACAACTAGCCTTGTTCCATTTTTGGTAAATTTTCTTTGGAAACTATGTGTGAGAGAGTGAGTTTAGTTTTACGCCGCTTTTAGCATTATTCCAGCAATATCGTGGCAGGGGACACCAGAAGTGTTCTTCATACACTGTACCCATGAAGGAATCTAACCTGGGTCTTCGGCGTGACGAAAGAACGCTTTAACCACTGGGCCTTACTGTAGAGACCATTGATCAGATCCAATTACTCTGAAGCTCATTTAAAACAAATGGAAACTGAAGTCTTAGGTCTGGCTATCTATATAGAACATAGAGATTGATAACTAAATATCAATTGAATCTTGATAAAAACTGGAGAAGTAACTTTGTGCAAAAATGCCAACAAATGAATATATACTGAAGGAAACAATTAAGGGAACACCACTTCATGGCAGGGTTCCTTTATTTATTCCAAGATTTCCTTCCATAGCGCTATTCAAAGCTGGTGATGAAAACTGGAAAATATTAAAGGAACGCTTGAATTTTCAAGCGTTCCTTTATTTGTTTCTCTGAGTATATTTCATTCCACTGGTGAGTGGTGACATGTTGATGCATGGACTGCAAACAAAACAGTGACCTAAACATACGTTAGGAGAAGCCGTTGAATAAACTCCTTACTCCGTGTATTGTGTTAGCAGTGTATGAAATAAGCCAAAAATCCAGCCAGACATCAGGGCTGGTAACTTCAAAATGTTACCAGCCGAAATGGATTTAACTAGACCAAATATGGTGAATTTACAAAGATGTATGGAACATCTAAAAATTTTACCAGACCATCGGGTTGGCTAGCTGTAAATTTAGACCGTCCGTTAGAACTCTAGCCCGTCTCGGGTGGTCTGACTGCCTTATTTCATACACTGGTGTTACTGAGGAATTTAAATCTACATTCTATCACAAATGTTTATGCACGATATTATTGCACACATAATTGTCACATCGATAATCATTATTATTATCCATATGTGAATCATAACCAGTGTCATATATACCATATGTGCACATGTGAACACATCACTTTTGCCTAGCAACCATTGTTTGTTTTCCGGCGTCTGTGACGTCATTACACAATGGAACGTGACGTCAATTAACTGGGATGTCACACTTGCTTACCGTGTTTTACTGCACAAATGTACATGAATTAAATGGATAATAAAGAATTATTACACTCAAGCAAGTGTGTCACATGATTTATATGAAACTTGTACAAATTTATGTATTGCCCTTGTTTCATATAAGTCGTATGACTCACTTGCTCATGTAATAATATATATATATAGCTGCCCCCGTGGTGTAGTGGTTAGAGCGTTTCGAGATAAGTCTGGTTTGACTCAACATGTCAAGCACCAAAAGACGCTCATGGTAATAATGGCTATGGGTACAACAAGGACTGGATAGCCTGGAGTCAGTATAATGTGTCTGATATGCTTCACTGCGCATGGTATCTCAGTGGGCTAGCACTATTAGCTTCAGTCTGGGCTAAGTACAAGCAGCTGCACACAGTACCCACGCCACGCCATCATATGTTAAATATTATCCACGTTAAACCCAATTTCACTCCTCACCTATATCTATCGACAAATTTCCGGTTATCAGTCTTCTTTGCCAGCAGCCCCTCCAAGCTTGTTGAATGTAATCAGTGCCTTTCTGAAAAACTGACTTGGCCCTTTAGGGTTGCAAGTGGCAAAGTGGATTTTCAAAAAATGTTGAACCCTGCCCTGGGAAATGAACTCAAGACTAGCAACTGTTGTCTGAACTATCCAGCAATATGGAAAGTTTATTAAAGTGGCATTTGAAAGTTGTTGTCACGAGCAAGATCGATATTCTTTGGAAATGTAACTTCTTCATTACAAAATATGCGATGTACATGCAAACAAGTGCAGGGGTGAATCAGAGGAGGTGTGCACCCCTCTCCTCTTAAACACATTCACTAAGGAGCATTTCCCCCTTACCTTTGGATTTCATAATTTATGTGCACCTGCCGCCCCTTCTCCAAAATCCTGGATCCGACACTAAAGTGTTGTACAGTAGTGTAGATAAAACATATACTGTATTAAAAAAGTTGTATATCCTTAATATCATACCCCTTGTTCAAAATGGAAAAGATAGTGGACATAAGCACAAACCCTCTTCAGCTGAAGAGCCTCCCTCAAAGGAATCTTCATCAGCCTCATAGTGCTCTTCATCACCTGACCTTTGACCTGGAGGGGTCAGCGTGTCATGACCTTCATCCAACTTCCTCTTGGTATGTTGTGCCATGGTTCACCTTCAATGTCCAATACCGAAAATCCTCAGCAACCCAGAAAATGTAACATTGCCTATCGTTTTAAAAGTTTACTTATATTCATTATGGGGGTGAGGCGTCAACTTCAATTTTCAGGGATTTGACGACTTTTTAAAATTATGTACCCTTGCAGGCAAATTGAAAAAAGTGTTTTACATGAGTATAAGTTGCACTGCTGCACTTTTATATGGGTACACAGAGCCTGGACTGCCTCTTAGCACATCCAAGCCATGTTGTAATATCATTAGTGTATTAAGATAATAATTGCATCTACAAAAAATAACCCGTGAAGATCCAGATTAGATGATTTGATCTTCAGTAACCCATGCATGTCAGCTCGCTGACTTGGTTCACACGTCATCATATTCCAGTTGTGCAGATCGATGCTCATACTACTGATCACTGGATTGTCTGGTCCAGACTAGATTATTTACAGACTGCTGCCATATAGCTGGAATATTGCTGAGTGTGGCATTAAACAACAACAAACAAAACTTAACACATCCAGTTATAGCAGACTCAAAGGGACCACTTACTCTGTTTCATTATAACTGTAGCTTGATAACACTGAACATACAGACAGTACAGTGAGTCAGTGAGTTTAGTTTTACGCTGCTTTTAGCAATATTCCAGCAATATCATGGTGGGAAACACCCATGTGGGAATGGGCTTCACACATTGTACCCATGTGTGGGAATTGGACAGTACAATGTGAATGGAGAGTTTATCATTCTGTATACAGAGGTCAATTTCTCTTTACAAAGATAAACATTGTGAAGGTTGTTTCCAGATCAGTGTGTGAAATAGTTTCCAGTCAGGCTATCAATGACTGAAAGTTACTAGCCAACAAAATAAGTTAACTAGCCTGAAGATGTAGAAACTGCTACACAATGCTAAGCTGCTAATATGACGAATATTTTTATCAGGTCATAATCTTGAATTTTTAAAAGTGTATTATAACTTCAAAAAGTGATATATTTCCAAATGACCCCATGTAGAGAGGGTGATGGATATTTGACCCAAATAAGGCTATGGCTATTTTGGTAATACAAAATTCATGTAACACACATATTCAAAGACACACGTCATAGTGTTGAAGCTAGAACAGTTACTTGTTGTTACGATTCACTACCCTGGTCATTGTCATGATACATTATGGCTAGAATATGTGGAAGCCCATTTCTGGTGTCCCTCGAGTTTCAATTTCAGTGAAATATTGCTAAAAGCGTCGTAAAGCCATTATCAGGCATTATCAGACAGTGATAAATCAACACTGTCTACTTGTCAGAACATGTAACAGAAATATATTGTTTCACTAAATCAACTGGTGGTTTGTTATTGCATTTGTTACCCAATGTTAGTGATATTGATTTTAATCGCCTCAGACGGATTCGTTGCAGTCCTAATTGCGATCCTGATTTACTTTGCAAGAACTGCACAGTACTATAAAACATCCATGACAATGTATTCAATCCACTTACTTGAGTCTGCCGAGGTGATTGTCACAAGGGCCAAGTCATCTAGTTACATCAAATCCAGAGATATTGCATCCAGTTTCAGCCATGTGCGGTTTGAGATCGCCGCCATTTTCCTTAGATCTAATAGAGTCACCTCCCTTATTTGTCGTACTTCATTTGCTGTATGAAGAAATGCTGTTAGTACATCATCAATGAATCCAGTTGGACCATCATCAGCTGGACGTGTACATTGTAATCCAGTTATCATAACTATTCAAGCAAATATCAGGATTTAGGATTTCACATAAATATCGTCACTGCTGCTGTATTTGTGGTTTTATTTTTCATGTTGGAAAGAAGAAGATCACTATACTACCTGCAATTGGGCCTTATGGGAAAATGTTTGCTGACATAGGGACATGGATGGAAGCCAGATTATACATATATACAGGAAAACGACATTGGATATTGTTAAGTATTTCTTCAGCAATAATTTGCATTGAAACATTATTTTTTCTATATTTCTTTCATTCATGTTATATTAAATTCATCCAACCATCTACCCGTCTGCCCGACCGCTAATTCCGTCCGTCCATGTGGTGGGGCAGGTTTCCACATCAGCATTCGTCACCAATCGTTCCTGACCGTAACCTCCTGGAGTGAGTGAGTGAGGTTAGTTTTACGTCGCACTCAGCAATATTCTACCTATATGGCGGAGGTCTGTAAATAATCGAGTCTGGACCAGATATTCCAGTGATCAACAGCATGAGCATCGGTCTGCGCAATTGGGAACTGATGACATGTGTCGACCAAGTCAGCGAGCCTGACCACCCGATCCCGTTAGTCGCCTCTTACGACATGCATGGGTAACTGAAAGTTCATTCTAACCCGGAACTTCTCGGGTACCGTAACCTCCTGGAAGATTCGGCTTATCCCGGAATAACACGAGTGGGTCACGAATGATGTTTACGGCACAGTAATCAATGAAAGTGAGTGAGTGAGTGAGTTTAGTTTTACGCCGCTTTTAGCAATATTCCAGCAATATGACGGCGGGAAAAACAGAAATTGGCTTCTCACATTGTACCCATCTGGGGATCGAACCCTGGTCTTCAGCGTGACGAGCGGAGGCTTAATTAACCAATAGGCTACCCCACCACCGTTAATCAATGTGGCGCACTCACTGCAAATGATCCGCGTTTGAATTGGTCTTAACAACCCATGCTTGTCTCAAGAGGCGAATAACGGGATTGAGTGGTCAGGCTCGCTTACTTGGCTAATACATGTAATCGCATGCCTACTGCGTAGATCGATGCTCGTGATGTCGATTATAGCAAACTCTGGACTAGACTCCATTATGTACAGATATATGGCTGAGGGCGGCGTTAGAAGACAAACAACACTGCAAAATCAGTGACCGAGTGCAACAATACACGAACAAACAGATCTCACGTTACAATCCCATCCTCATCACATATTCAACTCATCGCTGCCTCCATGGTGTTGTGGGTAGGGTGTCTGTCTGGAGAGCGAATAGTCGGTGGTTCAAATCCCGTCTGCATGGTATAGTTATCTGGCAGTGGTATTCATTGTGAAACAATCTTTCCAAGTGTAATATATCGTGCATGTAGTACATGAAAGGGGAGATATAAATACGTTTTTAAAACCCCAACTCATTTAAGCTTTGTGCTTAAAATGTCCAAGTATTCAGACTTGATCTCGTCTCTATATGGCTGAAATAATGCCGATGCGACGTAAAACTCAACTCAACTCAGCTCAACTCTGCTATTACCTGTTACGACATCTCAAGTTACCAGAAGACCAGCATCGTGTATGGTGACCATTATAGCCCGCCTAGGCCTAGTTTGCATGTTTAGGGCGGTGGGGTAGCCTAGTGGTTAAAGCGTTCGGTCGTCACGCCGAAGACCCGGGTTCGATTCCCCACATGGGTACAATATGTTAAGCGTATTTCTGGTGTCCCCCGCCGTGATGTTGCTGGAATATTGCTAAAAGCAGCGTAAACTAAACTCACTCACTCACTCTTCATAAGACGTTTCAGGGCTACTTCTTGCTCCTTCGTGAGGTGGATGGTGCTGTACTGTCTGTTCTCACTTGTTTCCTCATTTCCATGTTGATGATGAAGAAGCAAGAATTGGCTCTGAAACATCGTATAAAGAAGTATAAAGAAGTCGTTATCCATAACGTGTTCAAGATGCAGTCCGTTTGATAAAATAAATACACCAAAGATTATTGTCATATTGTTTAACATATTATGAAACATAGAAGTTCATAATTACACTACACCTTATTACATGTGAGTGAGTGAGTTTGGTTTTACGCCGCTTTTAGCAATATTCCAGCAATTTCACGGCGAGGGACACCAGAAATGAGCTTCACACATTGTACCCATGTGGGGAATCGAACCCGGGTCTTCGGCGTGACGAGCGAACGTTTTAACGATCAGGCTACCCCACCGCCCTTATTACATGTGAAATTTGATGTTGTGAAGGAATGTCAAGAGAAGTTGTTTAACAAACCAACATGTAAATGTTTCTATCCTGTCCACAGTAACAACGAGGGCGTAACAGCAAACGACAGAACAGCCACCTGCAGAACAGCACGTGGTGCCCGCGGCAATCTGACATGGATGAATGCGTACTGATGTTTTACCGCTGATTTGATTTGATTGTTTGTTGTTTAACGCCGCACTCAGCAATATTCCAGTGGTATGACGGCGGTCTGTAAATAATCGAGTCTGTGCCTGACGATCCAGTGATCAACATCATGAGCATCGATCTACGCACTTGGGATACGATGACATGTGTTAACCAAGTCAGCGAGTATAACCACCCGATCCCGTTAGTCGCCTCTTGCGACAAGCATTGGTAACTGAAGATCAATTATACTAACCCGGATCTTCACGGGTCATGTTCATTCCTGAGCCCGGCCACGTGATGCCAAAAGACGTTAAAATATGGTACTTGTTGGTGCCCTGCCTGGCGCTCGGCATTAATGGGTACAACAAGGACTGGTCGGCTCAGTGTCAGTATAATTTGTCAGAGTGGGGTACCCATGCGGCATGGTATCTCAGTGTGCTAGCACCATAAAACCAGCTTAAGTCTGGGCTATACAAGCAGCCACACATAGACACGCATGCACGTCGTCATATGAGCGAAATATTCTTAAGTACGACGTTAAACCCCATTTCGCCTGACCTCACTCCCTGAGGTTAGGCCACTCATGTACATGGTTGTACGTAAATTACAAAGCAGAATATCGTCGATTTAGAGCATTTTATACAGTAAATAACTATTCGAAACATGCACTTGGTGCATTGGTTTTGTCAGGAAATAACTGAAATAGTTGGTGGCGAATAAAGTCAACAGCCAGTCAACACAAGGGGGTGGGGGGTGGGGTGTAACAGCGATAATCGAACAGCAGTTGTCTACCAATGTTTTGTTTGTTTTTGCATCGGAAAGATAAATCGCAAAAGAAGGAAATACACATATACTTAAGTGATACCACAAGTAATAATGCCCAATTGCGTAGAACGATGATCATGCTGCCGTTGGTCACTGGACTGTCTGGCCCAAACTGGATTATGTATAGACCGCCGCCATATAGCTTGAATATTACTACGTACGGCCTTAAACAACCAACAAACAAGCGTAGTCAGAACACTGGTGAAACAGCGAATGTCATGTTGGCGACATTGCAGCTTTCAGGATCTAGTTGTCATGGTTACCCGACAAACTCGTGTCACTTTAACGTGAACAATCAAGCTGTTACAAGCCACCCCGTCGGTTCACCGGAGAACATCCCTGTAAACACACTGTTCCAAGTTGAAACAAGAACATAACCAGAACGACGTAGTATAAAATGAAATTTAGAAAGGGGTCAAATGTAACGTGTTTGGTTTGGGATTACACATTCACAGTGAAGTACACATTCTTATATACCGTGAAGATTCGGGTTAGAATTGGTCTTCAGCAACCCATGTGACTAACGGGATCGGGTGGTCAGGCTAACATGTTTGACACATGTTATCATATCATAATTGCGGAGGTGGATGCTCATGCTGTTGATCACTGGGTTGTCTGGTCCAGACTGTTTACCATATAGCTGGAATATTGCTGAGTGCGGCGTTAAAGAACGAACAAGCAAACTAATTAACTAACAAATCCAACAAAATAGCAAGTTTAGTTATCATGGACACCTAACTCAAAACACCGAAGGTCCCAGTCATTGTTTTATCGTTCTAACGTTGAACGAAAGGCAGTGTAATGACTTTTGCTTAGTAACGTCATTTGGCATTACGTCATTTGACGTCGCCAGAGGATCAAACCACCGACCTTCTGTTGTTCATACAAAGACTTTATCCACTTAACCAAGGAGGTGGGTGGTCCTTATCCATCAAATGCTCCATCACAACGAAATTCACACATTCTGCATTGCTGGTAGGTCATTGGTACCTTATTGAAACTCACACATTCTGTATTGCTGGTAGGTCATTGGTACCTTATTGAAATTCACACATTCTGTATTGCTGGTAGGTCATTGGTACCTTATTGAAACTCACACATTCTGTATAACTGGTAGGTCATTGGTACCTTATTGAAACTCACACATTCTGTATTACTGGTAGGTCATTGGTACCTTATTGAAACTCACACATTCTGTATCACTGGTAAGTCATTGGTACCTTATTGAAACTCACACAATCTGTATTACTGGTAGGTCATTGGTACCTTATTGAAACTCACACATTCTGTATCACTGGTAAGTCATTGGTACCTTATTGAAACTCACACAATCTGTATCACTGGTAAGTCATTGGTACCTTATTGAAACTCACACATTCTGTATCACTGGTAAGTCATTGGTACCTTATTGAAACTCGCACATTCTGTATTTCTGGTAGGTCATTGGTACCTTATTGAAACTCACACATTCTGTATTACTGGTAGGTCATTGGTACCTTATTGAAACTCACACATTCTGTATTACTGGTAGGTCATTGGTACCTTATTGAAACTCACACATTCTATATTACTGGTAGGTCATTGGTACCTTATTGAAACTCACAGATTCTGTATCACTGGTAAGTCATTGGTACCTTATTGAAACTCACACATTCTGTATCACTGGTAAGTCATTGGTACCTTATTTAAACTCACACATTCTGTATTACTGGTAGGTCATTGGTACCTTATTGAAACTCACACATTCTGTATTACTGGTAGGTCACATTCTGGTAGGTCATTGGTACCTTATTGAAACTCACACATTCTCTGTATTACTGGTAGGTCATTGGTACCTTATTGAAACTCACACATTCTGTATTACTGGTAGGTCATTGGTACCTTATTGAAAACACATTCTGTATTACTGGTGGGTCATTGGTACCACATTCTGTATTACTGGTAGGTCATTGGTACCTTATTGAAACTCACAGATTCTGTATCACTGGTAAGTCATTGGTACCTTATTGAATCTCACACATTCTGTATCACTGGTAAGTCATTGGTACCTTATTTAAACTCACACATTCTGTATTGCTGGTAGGTCATTGGTACCTTATTGAAACTCACACATTCTGTATCACTGGTTAGTTATTGGTACCTTATTGAAACTCACACATTCTGTATCACTGGTAGGTCATTGGTACCTTATTGAAACTCAAACATTCTGTATCACTGGAAGGTCATTGGTACCTTATTGAAACTCACACATTCTGTATCACTGGTAAGTCATTGGTACCTTATTGAAACTCACACATTCTGTATTACTGGTAAGTCATTGGTACTTTATTGAAACTCACACATTCTGTATTACTGGTAAGTCATTGGTACCTTATTGAAACTCACACATTCTGTATTACTGGTAAGTTATTGGTACCTTATTGAAACTCACACATTCTGTATCACTGGTAAGTCATTGGTACCTTATTGAAACTCACACATTCTGTATTACTGGTAGGTCATTGGTACCTTATTGAAACTCACACATTCTGTATTACTGGTAGGTCATTGGTACCTTATTGAAACTCACACATTCTGTATTACTGGTAGGTCATTGGTACCTTATTGAAACTCACACATTCTGTATCACTGGTAAGTCATTGGTACCTTATTGAAACTCACACATTCTGTATCACTGGTAGGTCATTGGTACCTTATTGAAACTCACACATTCTATATTACTGGTAGGTCATTGGTACCTTATTGAAACTCACAGATTCTGTATCACTGGTAAGTCATTGGTACCTTATTGAATCTCACACATTCTGTATCACTGGTAAGTCATTGGTACCTTATTGAAACTCACACATTCTGTATTGCTGGTAGGTCATTGGTACCTTATTGAAACTCACACATTCTGTATCACTGGTTAGTTATTGGTACCTTATTGAAACTCACACATTCTGTATCACTGGTAGGTCATTGGTACCTTATTGAAACTCAAACATTCTGTATCACTGGAAGGTCATTGGTACCTTATTGAAACTCACACATTCTGTATCACTGGTAAGTCATTGGTACCTTATTGAAACTCACACATTCTGTATTACTGGTAAGTCATTGGTACTTTATTGAAACTCACACATTCTGTATTACTGGTAAGTCATTGGTACCTTATTGAAACTCACACATTCTGTATTACTGGTAAGTTATTGGTACCTTATTGAAACTCACACATTCTGTATCACTGGTAAGTCATTGGTACCTTATTGAAACTCACACATTCTGTATTACTGGTAGGTCATTGGTACCTTATTGAAACTCACACATTCTGTATCACTGGTAAGTCATTGGTACCTTATTGAAACTCACACAATCTGTATTACTGGTAGGTCATTGGTACCTTATTGAAACTCGCACATTCTGTATCACTGGTAAGTCATTGGTACCTTATTGAAACTCACAGATTCTGTATCACTGGTAGGTCATTGGTACCTTATTGAAACTCACACATTCTGTATTTCTGGTAGGTCATTGGTACCTTATTGAAACTCACACATTCTGTATCACTGTTAGGTCATTGGTACCTTATTGAAACTCACACATTCTGTATTACTGGTAGGTCATTGGTACCTTATTGAAACTCACACATTCTGTATTTCTGGTAGGTCATTGGTACCTTATTGAAACTCACACATTCTGTATTACTGGTAGGTTATTGGTACCTTATTGAAACTCACACATTCAGACCTAATTTTACTCACAGGTTTTTTTGCGTAAAACATAATAACATTTGGCGTACTGGTGGCGGCGGTGTGTGTGTGAATCCGAAATATAGTCAACTAGATATAATAACGAAAATCGTCAGATTAAATAGAATAGTTTGCTACCAAAGTGGTACACATAGGTTTCCCTGAGGCATTGCTAGCTTTAGGAAACGACTCACCCATTCAAGTCGCTGAACAATAATTCATAATACACTCTCTCAAAAAAGAAACGCAACCCCTGTTTTTTTTGGTAATGTTTATATCAATTTTAACTGATTATTACATTTGTATTTTTAAAGATAATGCCATGAAATTTGACATGGTGAACCTTAGGACAGCACGGTATAAGGTAACAGTTAATGCAGGTCAGTATCGAACTCTCAATTTACGCTAGGGGGGCGTTGTCTTCAGTATCTCGTTGTAGAGCCACGAGCTCTAATCACAGCAGTGCACCTCCTCGGAACAGAACGAATCAGACGGCGGATGTTTTCCTGGGGGGATTGCTCTCCACTCTTCCTGGAGTGCTGCGGCCAGTTCAACCAACGTGTGCGGTTGTGGTGTACGTGCACGAACACGAAGATGCATCTGGTCCCACAGATGTTTGATAGGATTGATGTCTGGCGATCTGGAGGGCCACGGCATCACGTTGACGTTTGAATTCTGTAGGAATGCCACTGTTGCACGAGCTGTATGAGGGCGGGCATTGTCATGTTGAAACAACTCCCTCTGTTGGTCGATTATCGGCAGAAGATGTGGCTGTAAGACGTCATCAATGTACCGTTGTGCCGTCAAATTGCCACGAATGATGACCAAGTCTGACCGTTGGTTGTAAGACATGGCTCCCCATACCATGATGCTTCCTCCTCCAAATCTGTCGACCTGTCGAACGCAGTTCGGTGCAAAACGTTCATTTGCTCGTCTATAGACACGTTGTCTACCGTCACGTCGTTGAAGAAGAAAACGAGACTCGTCACTAAACCAGACTCTTCTCCAGTTTCTTAGGGTCCATCTCCTTACGTTAGTACACCACCTGAGACGTTGGCGTCGATGTTGGCGTTTCAAGACGGGCCCAACAACTGGTCTTCTTGCACGTAAATTTGCCTCATGTAAACGGTTCCTGATGGTTTGGGCCGATACTCTCCTCAAACCTGGCACCTGTGTTGCAGTGATGGTGGGTGTGGCATGCCGATTACGTAGGTGGCTGAGTCGAATAAAGCGATCCTGAGCCGGTGTGGTGATCCTAGGTCTACCGCTCCTGGGACGATCTTCAATTGCATGGAACTGTGTGTAACGATTCCAAAGTCGTGAGATTGTTGTTTTGTGTACGTTTAGATGACGGGCAACTGTTCCAAAGCTTTCCCCGGCCTCAATGCGACCAATGGCAATATTTCGATTTGCTGTACTCAAACGGGGCATTTTCGAACTTGATTTGCAGAGCAAATTATGAGAGAAAAATTACAAACTACGCGTGCTTTTAAAACCCTCTACATGAACTGTGTTTTCAACGATTTGCACGTGCAACAGGCTTTTTAGCATTTTGTACATGACAATTTCGCACTTTCTCAAATAACACGGATACAAAGGTCATCATGTGTGAAAATGGTTCCGTTTGGGAGCTTATACTGATCAGATGGGAACGTATTAACAGTATTTTGAAGAAAATTCTAATTTACATTCTCCATCTTTATTCTAGAAATGATGTCAGATATTTAGATAGGGGTTGCGTTTCTTTTTTGAGAGAGTGTAGTATTAAGTGGGTGAGGTGGTGGTGTGCGTATTTACGAGTATGTCTGGGTATGTGCGACGTGTGTGTGTGCGAGATATGTTTGTGTGTGTGTGGGCGTGCGCGGTTGTGTGGAGGGGAGAACGAGTGACCTGGATTCAGGTGAATGTTGAAGTTCAGTTGGTGGGTATTAGCATCTAACAAAATAAACAGAATACATTTTCGATTTAATCACTTTAATAACCCACAGTGAAGTTGTGGTAAAAGCAGCGAGATTTACACTTCCTTCTCACAAATGAAGGGAAACCTGTTGTAACATTGGTCATCGTTCCATTGATATTGCCAGTCTGTCTTCAACATCTGAAGACAATGTTCGGTTCCATGACCATTGTCTGGTTGTCCTGGACACCAGTTGCTGTAGACCATCACATGGCTATCACCCCACTTCCAAACACCTTCCTTGTGGATGTCGGTAGCACCAAGCCAGTAGACGTTTGCTAAAATATGCAAATTAACCAATATCTATATTCCACGACAAGCGATCTTGATATTTTAATTAGTTAAATTCTGGTTTATCGTTTACACCGGCTGCTTTCCTCGTTTGAATGGTTACCGATGTGTTAACACGATTTCTCATCCTCAGGTCAGGTCAGGCGACACTCAGGTTTATGACAAAATATGTCCATATTTATACACCAAAGTGACTCCATCGCTTGCACTGCATAGGGCTTCGATGACAGCACGTGTAGCCGCATAATCTATGTAAACATAGGATCGCTACGCAAATCGAAGTAGTGTTGCACGTAATTGGATATTTCCTCAGTGAAAGAAAACCATTATATTAAAGATTGAGTGAGTGAGTTTAGTTTTACGCCACATTAAGCAATATTCCAGCTATATGGCGGTATTTCCTTCACGACGTTTCGGGACCATTCCTGATGAAGGGACCTGGAATGGTACCGAAACGTCGTGAGGGAAATAAGAAAGAAGTTTAATCCATAAAAATATCTTGGCCATCTATGTACAACTTCTAAATGCCACGGAAAGACATTATATGGCGGTGGTCTGTAAATAATCGAGTCTGGACCAGACAATCCAGTGATCAACTTCTATTAAAGAAGTTTAAGTAGATGTGTAGACTCGTAAAAAATAAATGCGTTAAAACTTTGTAATCGTCACATTTCTAGCCTGTGACAGAGGTATTACACAGGTTGCATGGAACTCTGGGTAGAAGAGTGGTCTTACCCCTCTTTACACGCTTTAAATGGTTGTTTCCAAATTTTAAAGGAACGCTTGACTTCTCCTGTGTTCCTTGATTTGTTTCGCTCAGTATATGTACAGGGACAGATGTTTAATGTGGCTTACACTGCCGGAATCAGACGGGGACTCACCTTTTGCCTGTCTATTGAGAAAGTATTGCTCACACCTCGTAGTTACGATGACGAGGTGACTTCCTATGTGGTGACAATATTGCTGAAAGTGGATTTCGTTATAATGGCAATAGTACAAGCGAAGTGATACATCAAGGCACAAAATTATCGTGGAACTGATTTTCTTGTAGTAATGCTTGTTATTAGGAACCGGCGAGGAAATTGAGTAAATGTCAATGATATGATATGCATTTATAACATAGCAACAGGACAGAATGTATACAGACGTTTCAACCAAAATATATTGCCATGTGTGGAATCAGGAATTCAGCATAACGTCATTTTCGAGAAAATAGATCTTGAAGTATAGAACAATAATATTTTCAAAACTATTCGATCAGATTCTTTGGAATTGTGCAAGTCACAAGACTTGGCAAATAACCCAAAGTATGTTAAAGCTCATGAAATAAATAAGAAAACGAAAAGCGCTTGGAGATGGAACTCCCGGACAAACAGGTTTGTAATTTTCTTCAGAACCAGAGGGTTGTATGTGTCAGAGATGCAGCTGAACCATTATTGTAGGATGACTGGATGATTATGTCTCCCGCACCAGGTTGTAGTTGTGTTTGTTTAAATTGTTTTAGTTTCATACCTTACGAAGCACATTAAATAAATCATAAATAAATGTTACAATGTTCCATTTGTGTGTTTATTATGATGATAATAACTTCAAGATTGTTCCTTCTCCATGTCATGTGATCAACCTGGATTTGCTGATTGGTCCAATAACCACTTAGAATACTCTAGAACTAACAATTTGTGTTATTTTATGAAGATGAAACAATGTAAAACCACTTTCTAGGCTATATACCACGGTGACATTTTGCATGGAGATGGAATATGCAGCAAAACATACCCTGAGCTTCCAAACTCAATTTTCACCAAAAGTGGACATAGAACACTCTGGTTTTCAGGCGACAATGATGTTCTTCCTTCGTGTGACGAGCGAACGATTTGGCAAGAAATATACTGACTCCATGTGTTGAAGGGCGAAGGCTTCAACCCGACTGTACGTTCACCAAGTTTTCAACGGGTAAAGCTTCAACAAGCACCAGTCTCACCCTCTACCATGTTCACGAGATAAGGATTCAACAAGCACAAGTCTCACCCTCTACCATGTTCACGAGATAAGGATTCAACAAGCACCAGTCTCACCCTCTACCATGTTCACGAGATAAGGATTCAACAAGCACAAGTCTCACCCTCTACCATGTTCATGAGATAAGGATTCAACAAGCACCAGTCTCACCCTCTACCATGTTCACGAGATAAGGATTCAACAAGCACCAGTCTCAACCTCTACCATGTTCACGAGATAAGGATTCAACAAGCACAAGTCTCACCCTCTACCATGTTCATGAGATAAGGATTCAACAAGCACAAGTCTCACCCTCTACCATGTTCATGAGATAAGGATTCAACAAGCACCAGTCTCACCCTCTACCATGTTCACGAGATAAGGATTCAACAAGCACAAGTCTCACCCTCTACCATGTTCATGAGATAAGGATTCAACAAGCACAAGTCTCACCCTCTACCATGTTCATGAGATAAGGATTCAACAAGCACCAGTCTCACCCTCTACCATGTTCACGAGATAAGGATTCAACAAGCACAAGTCTCACCCTCTACCATGTTCATGAGATAAGGATTCAACAAGCACAAGTCTCACCCTCTACCATGTTCACGAGATAAGGATTCAACAAGCACCAGTCTCAACCTCAACCATATTCACGAGAGCAGGATTCAACAAGCACTAGGCTACTAGGCTGAGACATCATCATGTTGTGAGGTGCAAAGGCTTCGACAACTACTAGGCCGACTCATCACCGTGCCCCGAGGAGCGAAGGCTTTGACAAGCGCAAAGCTACCCCATCACCCTGTTTTGAGGAGCGAAGACTTCAACAAGCATTTGACTGGCCCATCGCCATGTTTTGAGGACTAAAGGCTTTTACAAGCACTAGACTCATTGACCCATCATCACTATGTTTTGATGAGCAAGTGCCTTGACAAGCACATGGCTGGCCCATCACCCTGTTTTGGGGAGCGAAGGCTTCATCAAGCACTTGACTGAAATTCGCTGTTTAGAGGAGCAAATGTGCTGACAGGCGCGTAGCAAGACATTTTTTTCGTGTAAGCCCGATAGGTTGCAAAGCTTTATATTTAGATAGTAGTGACAGCTTGCCCAGCAGTTTTAGCAACAATCAAGTGTAAGCCCGGGCTTTTTTCATAATGGTAGCTACGCCCCTTGTTCACAAGCATTAGGCTGACCCATCACCATGTTTACAGCGACAAAGGCTTCAACAAGCACTTGGCTGGCCCATCGCCTTGTTTTGAGGGTCGAGGGCTTCAACAAGCACTTGGTTGACCCATCGCCTTGTCTTGAGGGGCGAGGGCTTCAACAAGCACTTGGCTGACCCATCGCCTTGTTTTGAGGGGCGAGGGCTTCAACAAGCACTTGGCTGACCAATCGCCTTGTTTTGAGGAGCAAAGGCTTCAACAAGCACTTGGCCGACCCATCACCGTGTCCCGAGGATCGAAGGCTTCAACAAGCACTTGGCTGGCCCATCACCTTGTTTTGAGGGGCTAGGGCGTTGACAAACATTAGGTTGACCCATCACCCTTTTTCGAAGAGCGCAGGATTCAACGAGCGCTAGGCTGACACTTTGTTTTACACACACATATACATGGCTTCAGTCATACAGACTTACCTTTGCCTCCCAGAACGTTTTGCTTATTCTTGAGAACAAATAGCACGATCTCTCCCACCGTACGAATCCATGAGGACATCCGTGATAGCCTGTGAAATTGACCTTTTTTACAGAGGCATATATTATTAAATGTTGAAATAATTTATGTTGTTACCATGTTGGGGGGGATTCCGGGTTCAGGAACTGGGTTTCAGCTAGCCATATTGCTCGTAAATGGCAACTAACGGGTTCAGGAACTGGGTTTCAGCTAGCCATATTGCTGGTAAATGGCAACTAACGGGGTCAGGAACTGGGTTTCAGCTAGCCATATTGCTGGTAAATGGCAACTAACGGGGTCAGGAACTGGGTTTCAGCTAGCCATATTGTTGGTATCAGGCAACTAACGGGGTCAGGTGGTCAGGCTCGCTGACTTGGGTGCTTGTATCCTATTTGGGTGCTTGTATCCCATTTGGGCAGATGACCATGATGTCAAGTACTGGTCCAGAATTAATGATTCTCACACGGCTGTAATATTGGTTGATTGTTGCTGAGTGAGGCGTTGTAAAGCAAACAGAAACATTAATCGCCCAATCTAGAACCCGCCGGCGAAAAATGTTAAATCAAAATATATATCTGAAGACATTTACGTGCAGCATATGGGATAAAACTAGATTGATACAGATCTCCGATGAGTAAATCCTTTTTGTTGTTTAAAGCCGCACCCAGTAATATTCCAGCTTCAAGACAGTGGTTTGTAAATAATCGGGTCTGGACTAGACGATCCAGTGATCAACAGCATAATCATCGATCTACGCAACTGGGATGCGATAACATTTGTCAACCAAGTCAGCGAGCCTGACCACCCGATCCCGAAAGTCGCTTTACGGCAGGCATGGGCTACTGAAGATCAGTTCTAACCCGGATCTTTACCAGTGGCACCGGAGAAGAATGTTATATCAAACTACGTATATGGAGACAGCTACCTGATATCCATTTCTCTACCTTACTGTTTTACACATGTTGCACTGTTGGCCTCATGGCCATATATACGTAATAAGGATGATGATGATGATGATGATGATGATGATGATGATGATGATGATGATGATGATGACAGTTACCTGCAACAACCGGTGCCAATGACAGCAACAGGAACGACAGGGTTTCGAGCCTCATGGTTTTCATAAACTGTCAGCTTTCAACGGCGACGAGGTGTTTGCAATTAGGACAAGACAAGCAAGTGTATTTACCTTTCAAATCACGTGAGTAGATCCGGGACAGGTGACACCCCTCACTTCCGTTTTCACACGGTTGGGAACAGGTGTGTTTATCAGTTTTTCATGATTCATGATTGAAATGAACAACTACTTAGCTCACCTTGGGGGGCGTAGTTGTTTCTGGGCAACCAGATAGTGCTAGATGCGTTTGCTCAGCACGCCGGAAACCCGGGTTTGCCACAAATGGATGTTGGATGTGTTTTTGTTTATGTATATATTTAAATTATGTTTATGTATATAGTAATGTTTATGTATATAGTTATGCTTATTCAGTCGGTGTTTGCCTCCAGCTACCTACGTGGCTGACGGACACGGACTTCACCAGTTTGGAGGGCGGTGGGGTAGCCCAGTGGTTAAAGCGTCCGCTCGTCACGCGAATATCCGGGCTTGATCATCAACGTGGGTACTATGTGTGAAGCCCATGTCATGTGTTCCCTGTGATATCGAGGGTATATTGTAAAAAAACCTCACTCACTCACTCACACATCCACTGACTCACTGACTCACTCACTGATAAACTTACTGACTCACCCACTAACTCGCTGACTCACTCACTGACTCACCCACTCACTCACTCACTAACACACCCACTCACTCACTCTTTCAGATGGTATCTCAGTGAGCAAGCACCAGCCTAAGTCGGGGCAAGTACAAGCAGCCACACATGCACACGCACGCACGACGTCATGGTGTCCAGATGATGTTCTGATGGTGTCCAAATATTTTAGTGTAAAAACAAAGGATCGTTTTAACCAGGTCAATTATAATTTAACATATTTTCTAAAGAAATTGAATTATTTGATATGTTTTTTAATCATATGTATTGTAAATATACAAATAGCACAATCGCCAATGCCTGATCATGAAGGGATGGGGTAAATTCAGGAAGCAAACGCACCGTAAGACCCCATCTACCTTCAGTTGTTGACGATCTGTAGCTTGTTTTATATGAATTTTATTGTGTATGGCGTCAGGTTTGTATGCTGGTTTTACATTCGTATCTGTGATTTTCTGGCTGTTTGTAATTTAGTAAGTCAACAGGTATTTATAACATAAGTTATATTTAGGATTACACTTTCTTAGAAAAGTACAGATTCCAGTACTTTTGTTGGGCCGAGTCCCACCCGGGATTCGAACTCACACCCTCAGTGTCAGGCACTTAATCGCCAGCACACAAAGTCAGCCGCCTAACCCGCTCAGCCACCGTCGCTTCCACAGGTATTTACGTTCCCGATTATGAATGTATATCTCGTTTTAGTCACTATATGGCTGAAATGGTGTCCAGATGATGCCCAGTCCTCTGCAAAATATACTATTCACACTTTGCTAAGGATCAAATCATAGATTCAACAGAAAACTATTATGTGGGGTCAAATTTGCTTTAAATATCTAAGCTTATTGCAAACATGGATCCTTAGTTTCAGTATGTCATTGCATCCTGTGGATCCCATACCTGTTATTGAGAGGTGTTGTTTATTTGTCAATGACCCGTTCCATGATTTGCAAAATGGTTGATTGGTGCCACGAGAACCATTTTTATTGTTACTCATGTATCAAGTGCATAAGGTTAGATTAAAGTGACTGTTTGGCAAAAGAGGGGTTACCATATCATTATTTATCCAGTTTTAAATGAATACAGTTTCAAATTATAAATCTACGTTTAAGTAAAGTTGTGAATTTTTTGTTATCCTTAGCAAAGTGTGAGTAGTATATTTATATAGGGACCCTCAGCACTGGGATAATCGACGTTGGGATAATGTCATGTTTTCTGGCCAATCGGGGTATATGCTTCACTTCCATGACCCAAGAAATCTCGTTTGGAGACGTCGTAATGTGGACATCATACTGCATGATCGTTGTAGGTGTTGTTCAATAATGATATGGGGTTCTATCACTGGCCGAACTGCGCTCCATTATGTCCATGGCTAAGTCACTTGGTAATCTCGACATCATTGCGCCGCTCGTGGTGCCATTTGCACCACATGTTGGGCAACGTTATATCTTTCTATAGCTCATCCTGCAAGGGTGTGGCCTCTGCACGGAAAGGCATGACATCGTCAAAATCACCGCACCAATACCAGTAAAGTCGGTGCTGCTCATACTGAAGATTTGCTGGGTGGTTGTTGTTTAACGCCGCACTCAGCAATATTCCACCTACATAGCGGCGGCCTATAAATTTATCGATTATGGAACAGGCAATATAGTGATCAACAGCATGAGCAACGATCAACGCAATTGGGGTACGATGACATGTGTTGACCAAGTCAGCGAGCATTACCACCGGATCCCGTTAGTCGCCATTTACGACAAGCATGGGTTGCTGAAAACCAATTCTAACCAGAATCCTTACGGATATCTTATTGAAAGGTGGAACAACATGAATCGAAATTCCATTGGTGAAGAAGCATGCTTCCATAAATCCGTTCATGTCTGGTCCGATATTAGTTACATTGGCTGCGAGCTGCAAACTTCAAATTTAGACCGTGACTTCTGAAACGACCCATTTCATTCAATCCGATCGCCTACTCTCTAGCAGATGTCACAATGTTATTTCAATGTGTCACTACCATACTGATCTGTAGATATGCCTGGATCATGTTTCGATCCCATACCATCTTTTCATGGCATACACCGCATTCTACTTTCCCCTAATTTGTGCATAGAACACAACTCTTCTCTCTAACAAACAAGGGGCTGTGGGGTAGCCTAGTGGTAAAAGCGTTAGTTCGTCACGAACGGGTTCGATTCCACACATAGGTACAATGTGCGAAGCCAATTTCTGGCGTCTGTGAAAGTGAATCTTGCGCCTGAACTGTACTGGGCCGGAACCTGGTTAACCTTTAATCAAACCATTGACGTAGAATATTCAATTTTCTTTCTGAACAGGTAAAATAAAGCTCAATTATTCCTTACATATTGAAAATATATTAACTAGTCGACAGAAACCGAGTTTTCACCAAGTTCCCAAAAGAAGACAGTGAGATGTATGCACAAGCACAAAGAAAGGGGCATAACTCCGCTTGGCTTCAAACTGAGCCATTAGTGTGGGTCGGGAACACGTTTTTTTGTTATTTGTTATTCGGACAAATTAAAATGACAGCAGTTTGAGGGAGATAAAAGGCCACTTATTGACAACAAAGTATCATAGATAAAATTTAAACCTCATTAAATATAGAACCTCTAGTAAGTGAACAAGTCACTTACTCGCTTACACTATCAACCACTGATTTGTCGTAGCTAGATTTAATTACCTATATTGTTACACTTTGATAAAGGTGCAAGGCCACATGATTACTGACACAAGGCATCATGATAAACACCACTGGTTTGAAACCTTAACTGAAGATAGCACCCTGACGACAGGGCATCGCATAAAGGATATGAGTGGACAACTCACTCACTCTCTATCAACCACTGGTTTGTAGAAGTTTGCTTTTAATTGCAGAGGATCGTGATATTGTTACTCCTTGGTGTAGATAAACGGCCACTTACTGACGACAGGGCATCGCATAAAGGATATAGATGTTACTGAAGACAGACCCCTGTTTATTAAACGAACAACTCACTCATGGAAATCCATTTACACTTATAAGCCACTGGTTTGGTGTAGTTCGACTCGAAATGAAAAAGTAGGTGATAGAAACCGAGTTTTCACCATGTTCTGGATAAAGTCCTTCCTAAAACCATACAAGACAGCCAGGTGTGCGAATTATCGTAAGTTCAAGGGCAGTGTTATCAGCCCTTTGCTCTTTAATATAATGATCAATGATTTCTTTTCTGAACTTCCTTTAAAACATTGATGCATTTTTGCAGATGCTGTATTTGCAGCAGAACTGACATCCATACTTCAAGCTTTAAAATGGGTAAAAGATAATGAACACGAAGCAATGAATTTTACTGATTCGTTGTCAGCTGTACAAGCAATTCAATCAGGTGTACAAGGTCCACGCAGTGACATACTATACGACATCTTGTATCTTGATTCACTGTTTTAAACTCCATGTACATCAGCTGTGACATTATTTTGGATTCCTGCACATGTTGGTGTAGCTGGGAAACGAAGTAGTTGACACAATTGCTAAGATGGCTTTGCAGCAGACCACAGCCAGATATTCATTCAATTAAGCCCATTCCAAGAGATTACTGGTTTGTCATTTCATCTTCAATAAATGCATCTTGGCAAAATAAATGGGATAATGAAACTACAGGTAGACACATGCACTCTACTGCTTGTCCTGTAGTAACCAAACATTTTAAAATTCGTCGGCGTTGTCGCAGAGATGAAGTTGTTTTAACTCGTCTCAGGCTGGGACATTGTGGATTAAAGGCATATAGAAGTATTTTAGATAAAGACTTATCTCCTCTGTGTGAAAGCTGTAACTTACAGTGCCAGAAACAGTTCAGCACTACCTCATTGAATGTCCAGCTCATTAAGGCCATTAGTGTGGGCAATGGTTGTAACACGGTTTTGTTATTCTGTCAAATCAAAACAAAGATCAATAAACAGATGAGCCTATGATGAGAGACTTAAAGTCGGTGGGTTCATTTCACTGCATTTACTTGTATGTGTCATTTTGCTTGTATGACAACTGGTCCGCACTCTCCAAATCATCTGTAAAGAGACATTTCCGGCCGTTTGCCCATATTTCGTCCATTCTGTGTTTGAAACTCAAACAGTTCCCATGTCGTGGGTGTCTTAGCCCTTGCGGTTTAACATGAATACATGTGATATTTGTGCCTCATCTGGTTGTATGGATACAACCCGCCATTCGAACATTTCCCGGGAATGGAAGTACTTATTGCCCGACTCAATACAGCAGTACTCCTGCCTGTTGTGTGAGGCGACTGACAGGACCAGTTGGTCACGCTCGATGGTCATGCATGGACAGACGGTCTGAGGCAAATCTCTAGTGTTCACATTATGTTGGAAACGTCTCTTCCTGGGGAATAGTTGTATTTTATCTCTGTTGATCTTTTGTTTGTTTTGAATGCGACGTTGTCCCCCATATTTAGGTCAGCACGCCCGAGTAACTGTATTGATAATCAAACACTGAGACTCGACGAAATTCATTTATATATGACTAGCATACAAACAGATCGTGTTGAGTTCAGTGTTCAATGGAAACATGGGGTGCAGTCATGAGGGTGGGTTGCGTAAGACTGCATGACTTTACTACGCATGTTTTAGAGAAAGAGAATGAGAGAGGGGTGGAGGGGGTGTAGGATATTTGAAGATATCTTTTGGTAAAGGCAAACAAAAAGTAACTAAGTATAGAATAACACAAGCATGATCAAAATTTAGCACACAGCATATAATTTAATTCTTATCAATGATAAACAGGGCATTACAACAAACAAGTACAGTGTTGGGTATCATGGCAACTTTTACATTTGATTCCTGCAAGATATATCAGTCACCGGTCACCAGGTGTACAAAGTTATAAAATGGACACAAAACAATCAACATTCCAGTACACAAGTCAAAGTTATGTACTCAAGATGTTGCTCTGTAAATGCGAGAATGTATGGATGCCAACTTCTTGAGGGACACAACGTTTCGGGGTGTACTGTTACTCCTTCATCAGGTGAATGAAGACTAGGACGGAGACAGCTACACTAGCCACATAAAGAAACTGCGCATTGTCAAAATATTATCCCAGTTGATAAGTACGATAACAATGTCAAAGATACACATAAACTTTAATGGAGGGATCATGGGACCATAACAAGTGGGGAGAATTTCAATTGAAAAGTCAATCGCAATGACGTCACGAGTCCACAAGCGGAACAGGGGTCAAACGACCATGTCACAAGCTCAATATGTCCACCACCGGCATTGAGAACAGCAGTGCATCGACAACGCATAGAGCCTATCAAACGTGCAAGGAAGGCTTGTGGGATGTCACGCCAGATTCTCTCAAGTTCTGTTGCAAGGTCAAGGACGTTATCTGGTGGATGAGGAAGACGGCGTAGACGTCGATCCATCTCGTCCCAAAATGCTCTTTCGGGGAGAGATCCGGTGAATTTGCAGGCCAAGGCAGTAAGTCAACGTTGTGGTGTTGCAAGAAATCCATAGCAACCCTTACCTTATGAGGGCGGGCATTGTCCTGTTGGAATGTTAACCCAGGGCCATGACGTTGCAGAAAAGGAATTGCCACAGGTCGAAGAATCTGATCCCTGTAGCCCACACCAGTTAAGTTGGCCTGAACAATCTCCAAAGGAGTTCTTTGGCGTGCTGTTATTCCACCCCAAATCATCACGGAACCACAACCAAAGCGATTCCTCTCCAAGACACAGGCCTGTGCATAACGTTCTCCCACGCGTCTATAGGCACGTTGACGTCCATCACTATGGGAAATGTTAAACCTGGACTCATCTGTAAAAACAACATTTCTCCAACAAAACAAGGGTCTGCGAACATGATTTCGGCAACACATTCGGCGAGCTTGTCGATGACGTTGCGTCAGGATACGCCGTATGGCGGGACGTCGTGGTCTGATCCCGTGATGACGTAAACGTTTTCGAACTGTGTTGGGATAGATAGGGCGAAGTCCTGGGATGGTTCGGGCAGTCATCACTGCAGTCTGAAACCTGTGGTGAAGATGGGTCACCCTTATCCATATGTCCTGTCTTGGTGTTGTTACACGTGGACGTCCAGAACGTGGCCGATCGATGACGTCATTTGTGTTCTGGTAGCGTCTCACCAGTGCAGAAATGGTGTTCCGGTGGCAGTGGAAATGTGCAGCCACTTGTCGTTGAGACATTCCCCCACGGACCATCCCAATGGCCTCATGACGTTGTGCAGACATGAGCCTTGGCATGCTATGCGTTTCAATAGCCGTTTAATTTTTTGAACGATCGCAAGGGCAGGGGTTGAGCTTTCCAAAGTGACAGTATTGTGTGGCATTCATTTGCTCTGTTTCTCTTTCCCGGAATGCACGTGCAACAACGTATTGCACGTCTCAAGGACGAACCCACTAGCGTCACGGAACGTGGCACGTGCATGCATGTTGGATACATGTCACTTATCTCTGACTTTAAATCCTTATGTGTCTACACAGGTTTGATAAATTTAGATTTTATATTTTTGTATGCACAGTTTCTGTATGTGCCTAGTATATAACAAATGACCGTTCCGGTACAGGTAGACATCGAGTCACCACAACAGCCAAAGATCGGTACATCTGGGTACTACATTTGCGTGTTCGCACTGCCAAGGGTGAGAGCACAGCAGCCAGGGTGCATGGACTTGGGAGGATATCCGGTCAAACGGTATGGAACAGGTTGAGAGAGACCGGACTGAGAGCCAGGAGACCCAACGTCAGGACCGTGCTACGTCGTCACTATCGCGCTCAACTTCCCCGTTATCTAAAATTATCCACTTGGTTGTATATACATTTCTTTTTCTCTGAACTGGTGTACAAATTCATGTACTAAACTCTGTTTGTGGAAGATATACATGTTTGAAAATACAACATTTTTGTAACAGATTTCTGGGATATGCGTTTCTTTTTTAATACTAAATATGTGAAGGGTACATAAGCTAAAAAAGATGATTTACAATTATGCAATGAATTTACAGAGACTTCCCTTCCTTGACACAAACAGCATATCTCAAAAGACATGATGGCATGGCTTGTTGTTTGCCAAGGGCCCTGAACTGATGATGAGCCTTATTTACCAACCTGACTGTGCTAGGATCACCCGAACCCTTTCAGTTGCATTTTCATCTTAATCTGAGAAACATAATAGGGAATTTTTATAGCGCATTAATCCATGCTCAGTGCATGCTATGAGCGCACAGATTGGTGAATATTGAGATCATTCGAGAAAAGCATGTTTAAATAAGTAGGTTTTTAGCTGTAATTGGAAGGAGGCAAGAGTTGAAGACTGTCTGAGCGGGAGATTGTTCCATTCATTTGCTAATTTGAAAGTAAAGGAACGTTGGCCATAGATCACAGATTTCACAACAGGAACTTGCTCTCTGATCGCAGTGATCGAGTTGGTTTGTACCCCCATGATCAAATCACACATATATTGTGGAACATCTTCAGTCAGCCCTCGATAAACGTGACATAAGATCTTATAGCTGATTCTCTGTCGGATGTTCAGCCAGTGTAGGTCATGTAAGATGTGGGTGATGTGGTCATACTTCCTGCAGATGGAGACTATCCGAGCAGCTGTATTCTGGATGTGCTGGAGCTTGTTGGTAACAGACTTGGGTGCACCGGCAAAGAGGCTGTTGAAGTAATCAATCCTAGATGTTTCCAGAGAGAGAATCGGGGTGTTAAGAGATTCTTTGGTCAGGTACTTTCTTTATGGATGCTGCCAATATTCCTCAAATGGAAAGAGGGGACTCTAGAGATATGGCTGATATGCTGCTTCATGGACAGTTCTGACTCCAAAACAACACCCAACACATTTACAGACCGATTGACGTCAATGTTTGAGCTTCCAATATGACATGCAGTAGACCTGACCGGGTACATTTTGCAGATGGGCATACACTCTCCTCTATTAGCATACACTAATCAGCTTCACTGTTCATCGTTCAGCTTCAGTTTATTGACGTTCATCCAGCTTTGTGTTCAACAGGTTGTCATGTCGTCAGAAGCTGCTTTTGCTATGGGTGCTTTTGGTCAAAACATCTTCATGAGCTACTCGTCATCATCGTAGAGGTGTCTTGGCAACCTTACTCGTGGATCCTTGACCCTTTTCTTTGTATAATGGGTGAATAATATAGGACCCAAAACTGAAACTTGAGGCACACCGCAGTTTTGATGTACTGACTCCGAGAACTGACCATCAATGTACACACACTGTGATCTCTGAGACAGATAGAACCTAGACCATTCCAAAGCAAAACCTTGAACACCAAAATCATCCTGAAGTCACTGCAGCAGTCTCTGGTGATCACAGCCCAAAGCCGCGCTAAAATACAGGAGAACAAGAAGAGCAACTATTTTCAAACAGATTTCAAGTTTGCTGTCAAACGAGCAGCACAGCCGCGCCTTACATACTTAATTGACAGCGCACCTATATATATATATATACCTGACGTCATGCCATGCTACCTGTTGTTCAGTTCAACCTCGCTCTGATTCTGCCAACAAGAGCTTAATCTCTGTTAACTCTCAGTGCTCAGTCGTTGTGCAACACCTGTCAGACGTCTGATCAACATTCCCACATCAAGAGATGTGTCCTAAAGCAATACTACTGACAACCGTTCTTATCCTATGTTTTGGTTCAGGTAAGAGAAACCATATTTACTTCTTAAAAAAGTGAGTGCGTGAGTTAGAATTTATAGTCACATCGGCAATATTTCAGCCATATTGTGACTTAAAATGTTATAGATTAACAATAGAAGCAATTGAATTTTTTTTTAAAATGCCGACGAAGGACAGTAAAATAACTAGATTATCACAGGTGAAGAATTAAAACTAGCAAGTAACTTTAAAACAACAAATAGTACAGACAATAAAAAACGGGCTAGAGATCAACAGCAACTGAAGGTAGATCACAATGAATTCTTAAAAAAAGCATGCCAGAACACGGATGGACGTTTAATATTGACTGTCAGAAACAGAAACAAATGATGACGGAAAACGTGTCGACAAAGGATAGCTAGAATATGATTCAGATTCAGATTCAGTTTATTTGGTAATTTTGGCCTTAAGGCCTACATTACAATTGTTGATGTTACAAAATACTATGCACGTCACGTGGTCCCAGTGATGGCGGCATGCATGAATTCGCTCCGTGTTTGAAGCGATTAAAATACAACACAGAAGTCAAATTTACATCTGCAAGTTGTGCATGGTGTTATAAGGTATCCATACCCAAGTAGAGCGTCATGAATATTCCTATTGAGACCTGGAGAGCCAGAATAGGAACATGTTCACCGCGAATGCGAAGGAGCTCACTACGATAGCTAGAATAGAATACAAACAAGAATTAAAACTAGCATTTATCTCTGAAACTGGATGGAGCCCAGCTGGATTTACATAATTTTGGCATGTTTAGGGAAATTTAGCCGAACATTAAAATAACAAATATTCTACCGTGAAAGCAATGGGAAATATAACAATACTTTGATTGAAATGGAAATTACGTACCCTCTTCAGGGGTCCACACAGGCAGCAAAAGTACTGTAAGTCACAATGGTCCCTAGTGTGGTGATTACCTTCAGTTGCTCGTGATCAGTAACCCATTTTTATAACGTGTTGTTTATTAACAATTTACCATTTTATATGTTCCCAAACTAGTTTTGAATAAATGTGATAATCTGGTTGTAATAGTGTCCTTTGACAACAGCATGAAATATACATTGTATTTCATATACATGTATTTGTTATTGATGTACAATCTTCTCTCATCACGATATGGCTGAAATATTGCCAGTACAGATCACTTCCGGTAATTTTAGATAATTGAAAATCAACTGAGGGGTTCAAACTTATATTGTTAGTCATTGGATTGTCATGTCCAGATTCGCTTATTAGCAGTCCATATAGCTAGATTTACTGAATTTGGCTTTGAACAACAAACTTTGATCCAATATCCGTGATCTAACACCGGGTAGAATGTATCCACAGCAAACCCCTCACTGGCCATCGGATTGGGCATTAGGGCCGTAGACCCCATAGCCGGTAATAGAGCTCATTTGTCCTAAACTTCGGACCTAACGCTGCTTGGCTGGGGAGAGGAATACTACATGTTTGAAACAACGTTATATGTATGGAAATATTCTTACATGTTAACTCTTCTTTATCTGCAGCACAAGCGGACGAACTTGGTGATGGGTAAGTATTTACAGTGCACATCGCGATATTGCTTTTCTTGAACATGGTATTTTCAACTGAGACTTCAAAAAACAAAAAAAAAAACATTGGTGTATGTTAAACGCCGCGTTTGGCAATATTCCAACAACATGCCCCAAGCAGGCGATCCAGTAACAATCCACTGAATGTCCCACATCGATATTTAATCTCCAACAAACAGCTCGCAGTAAACACTTGCAAAATGAACATGCGAAATTGTAATTTAAAGGCACAATGTCACACATTTTCGACAATATTTTGGCCTATATTAAACATAATGGGGCATATGCAATCAATTTAGCTTCCTATTGATTCAATCAACGTATTTCTGTTTGAATACGTATATGGTAGCTTCCCTTAGTAAGATTTATTGAGAGAAATGCATTATATATTTATGGAGACGTGTGGTGTGACACAATGCCTTTAGAAATCTGGAAGTGTTGACATATTGCCAGACTTGAAGGACATGTTGATTTTCGTAACGTTGAACGTTGAACACAGAAAATTCGAGTTCATTGATGTCTCATAATTTGCAAATCAAGGAACGGAAAACCACTCATTCAGCTGTTTCATAAGCTAAAAAGAAATCATTAAACCGTTGGTACCCCTAGTCCTAGGTGGTTACGAATGTAGTTAAATTTTCCGGGGTGAAGGAGTGTGAAATTAAAAGTATGCTGAAAAACATCATTTGTTGGTTCGACTAATGGACTGACACTTTGGCTAGAAGATCGTGCTAAACTGCAATTTAATGTGCTGTGTACTGACTTCTCTTCTCAACTTCTCTTCTCTGATATTTATGGATTTCTTAAACATTGTACACTGAAAGTAAACAAAACTATGGTTAAATCAACAAACAGGGCGTTTTTGTGGCAGGAAACATTCCCGAATAATATATATTGCAGATCAAAAGCTGCTATTGGCGTAATGACTCCCTGCGGCGTGGCGTGTCTGATCTACATGATTTATAGGATTTATAAGTATGGACCAAATAAAGGAATTATCTGCTGCAGGGTGGGTAAGTAATACTATTTTCTCATCTATATCCAGAGTACCCCTCGCCCCCTCTTCTTTCATTTACTGTACTCATGGTATCAATGAATGTTCATATTCAATTGAATTGAATTCATCTACAATTCTGAATGTTTCCTGATTTGACGGCTTCATTCTAGAATCTAACTTTCTTCCTTTTGATTTTGCAATTTCAGTCTGACTGCATAGTAATACATGCCTTATGCCTGCGAAGGTTGCTACCACCAAACCTCAAACCTTCCGTATTTGAGGTTAATGGTTTTGAACGGTTCCCGTGCAGATACATGCCTCTTTTAATTTTGTTTAAATTTATTGGTACCCAAAATTATAATTTTACAGGCATATAAAGGCGAGATGCTTGGGGCTTAAAGTAATACTGCTACATAAACATGCATAGGTCATTAAACGTATAGATAATGTCATCTAAATACTGTCTCTTTCAAGTTCACGACTTGTTCGTTTAGTTTATTCTGTCTAGAAATGAACACTGACTCATCTGGGTTCACTTAAGGTCATTTAATATTTCAACAGTATCGTTCCCATCTTGTGCATATTCCGTGTAAGTTTCTCCCTTCTTTCAAGTCACCACTTGGCATAGAGATTCCCTGAAAAAGTTAAATATTTTGTTGGTATCTTCCTATCTTATCTATAGACAATCTATTCTGTACCACATAATGCATGTATACACGATGCAATGGCTTCTCAGAAAGCTTCTCCACAAAAGACCGACTCTGAGCAGACTTGGTGAATGACTTCACCTGGTTTACTCCCATCACTGTACCGTCCAGCAGTACATCGCCATCAACAAAATCAAGCTCAAATTGTTAGCATGAAATAAATACACTATCTTGTATTTCTTTTTTCTTTCAGATACGTTCGAACAAACAGAGCGTGTACAGTGCTATGAAAATGGTGGTTTAAAAATGATGGAAAGGACAGTGCAGAAAACTGGCAAGCACGTGTTCCAGCATGGTCAGAACCGTGTTCTGGGTGCAGGTGGGAATAGCGGAAACATGTCCAACAATGCACTTCAGATGCAAAACGTGATGGCCATAACTGAAGGCTAGGCAGAGCGGTTTAGTCGCGGTTTGCTACCTGAATGTTGTTGTTTCACTTACATGTTTGTCTCCATAAGATGGTTTGAAATGCAACTCTTAATTTGATTTGATGTTACACTGGTGCCTATCATTTAGGAAATAGTGCAGAAATTACTTGGAAGATGAAAGATGACAGAATCCTAAGTCGCGGTGATTGACAATATTTTAAACCCATCTATGTTCACACATATAGTTAATGTTATGTGACTCGGATGAAACGACGTGGGTGATTTTGTTGATTTCTTTATGATACTGGTGTAACAGCTCACGCCGAGAAAACACTACTCGCTGTGGGGTGTGAATCCTTTTATTGTCGAGCAGATACGCAGAAGAAAAATACCCTGTAAACATTCCATTATAAATATACATCACAGTATGTTTTGTATCACAACGGTATCACAGATTCATTAGCATGTATATTATGAGACGAGAAAAAGGGAGACAACTTAAACACATGTAAAGCCTGATGTCATTGAACAAAAAATAAATACAATAATAAAATAGTTTTCCCTTTGAATTATTTCACTTTGATAACTATACTGGGTTTGTAATAGGAATTCAATATATTAGGCATGTTCTCCATATAAACATGAAAGGTACATGTTTTAACATTTCATATTCAAAATTAGCTCACCCGTCTATCAGACAAAGCATCGCCTTTATCCCCCTACCCGACGGCAATAGAGTGAGCGTAATGTTGAAAGGAGGCAGTCGATGTTGTAGACCTCATGTTACTATGGGTGAGTGGAAATGACGGATATTAATACAGTGCAGATATTTCTTCATACATTTTTATATTTTTCACAAATTGTTCAGAACATAGGAAATCTGTATAGGTGCAAGTCGCTGTGCATAGTCTGTCTTGTTTATAGCCCTGCAGTTAGAACGCGTACAGTCAATACCGGAGTTAAATGGTATATGTTAAATCTGAGCACTTCGCGCCGTTTACCGTATTTGCTCAAGGCATGTATGTTGATAACGGAAATTTATTAACACTAGTCATAAATCGTTACCGTAGTTAATGCATTAAGCGCGAGATACCGTAATAGTCGTAAATTCCTACCGTAGTCCATACATTAAGCGCATCATACCGTAATAATCATAAATTCCTACCGTAGTTAACGTAATAGGCACTACATACCGTAATTGTCACAAATCGGTACCGTAGTTAACGCATTAGGCGCGACATAACGTAATAGTCATAAATGTGCACAACAGTTAATGAACTAGGCACTACATGCTGTAATTAAACTGTTGGGCGCTCCACTCAGTTCTTCTCCTCTGCAATTGTGGTTGATGACTAATTTATCCGTCAGGTTATGTTATTTATCAGTACCGTATTTACTCAAGGAAATGTTGTGTTATTTGTATCATGTTTCTGTAAGCAGTTACCGTAGATACCCTGTTGTACCACACATTGCTTATATTACCTGACTTAGATATACACTGTATTAGGATATCATTGATTATTATTTCTATTATTGTATGTCATTATTATGGAGGAATTGATGTTATTTGAATGTCATGCAAGACACACTTGCTTGAATAAACCCAGGAACTCATAGCTCTGCCTCCTTTCTTGTTTCAAGGTTCGCTCCCTATAGCTAATTCCCCAAATCGAGGCCTGACAGCACCTTTAGCACACCTAGCGCTAAAGGTCGTCCTAACGGACACAAAGAAAAGCTGTCTTAATTATATTGTTAGTCATTGGATTGTCATGTACAGATTCGCTTATTAACAGACCATCTCGCTAGATTTACTGAATGTGTCTTTTAACAACAAACTTTGGTCCAATATCCGTGATCGAGGGGGACACCGGGTAGAATGTATCCACAGCACCCCCTCACTGGCGGCCGAATTGGGCATTTGGGCCGTAGACGTCGTAGCCGGTAATAGACCTCATTGTCCAAAACGTAACTTCGGACCTAACGCTGCTTGGCTAGAGAGATGAATACTACATGTTTGAAACAACGTCAAATGTATAGAAATATACTTACATATAAACGCACTGACCTGACACACATTTAACTCTTCTGTATCTGCAGCACAAACGGACGAACTGGTTGATGGGTAAGTATTTACAGTGCACATCGCGATATTGCTTTACTTGAACATAGTACTTTCAAATGAGATTTTTTTAAAAACAACAGATCATTGGAGTATGTGAAACGCCGCGTTTGGCAATATCCCACCGACATGAGGACGATCTATAAATACTTCGGCCCCAAGCATATATAATACATAATAGGCCAGGAGAATTGGAGTTTGACCCTAAACAAATTGCAACAGAAATAAATCCAACTGTTTTGTACTCAGACAACATCAGTGAACGTCATACTAAAAGTCTTAGTCAATCCATTGAGGGGAAAATACTTTAATTTGACTTAATAAAGTAAGTAATTAACAGAAATTTCCAAAAATATGAAAATTGTTCTATTAAATGGTATTCTGGTTGTAACATATCATTTTAAAGCTTATGATAAGACAGTGCCATTTATTACTTACCTAACATCATAAAATTAACTAGACCTTCATTAATTAAGTTTCAATTGACTTTGAATTAATTAGTATTATTTACATACAAAATTTATGAAAAAGACCCCTGTAACAATTGTTTTGAAAGGTGATATTGGTCAATATGTAATTAGTGTAATAATTGTTATATAATAAGCATAGTTATTAAAATATCAATAAGATTACAAACTTACGAAATAAATATCCAACATGTGATAAATCAGATCCGATAATCGGAGAAGTGCCATGGTTGGGCATGTCCAACAATTTCAGGTTGTTGCTTCTTTACATGAAAGTACCAGTCAGTTCATAAGATGCTAGACTGTTTGAAAACAACTTCAACACAGAAGTAAATAAGTCCAGTGTTTAAATTGGTACTGTCATTTCACTGAAAACACTCATCACAA